TTTCACAGTAGGTGTATTACCGGTACTCCTGGCTTCTGTAAAGTGAACTGCGTTCTGCAGTATCTCCTTGCATTCCTGTAGGTCACTAACTGATTATCATAAAAAAAACCCGTGATGTGCACAAAGAATAAACAAATTCCTTAAAAATACTGTAGAAGGAAGATAGCGACGAACACACATCGTATGAGTGTTTGTAGGTAGAGAGAAAACGGCATCCACTTCGAACAACCGTTTTTTGACGTGATTTATATGGTTTTACATTACTGAAACAAGATACTAACATCGTAGAGTACGCCCAACTTACCACACGTGATAATAAACCGTGAGAATGTGGAGAGAAAAGAACGGGAAACAGATTAGGTTTTTTAAGCGTAATTGGTAGACTGCGTCCTGGTTTCAAGCAAACATCTGTAAAATGGTTTATAATCGTTTCCTTATTGGAGTCGTATTGATACAGGTAGGCGTACTAACTGTTAATGTTAACAATTATACATGTGGAACTAATATACAGTATTTTACATTAAAATTAAGTAATGGAGGTGTATATACATTGAACCTGACTGAACGAATACCATAATATTATACTGTATTTCAGGTCCCGGGACAATTCGCCCGTAGCCCAACCTCTGCAGATCTGAATGGTAACAAAAAAGCAGAAAACTAATTTCTGATGTACCAATTCGACCAATTATAAGATTCAATTAATTATTATTTTTTGTGTAACTCAGTGAATGCTAGGCCTACTCCGGGATTGATGTGAGGTTTTTTTTTTATGCCGAATAACTAAAGAAAAGAATTGTGTTTTGTCAAATCCATGCACGTAGTGCACGACTATTCTTTTTCGTTCCTTAAATGGGTAACAACTTTGAATGTTCATAAGACCAATTTTACGATTAAAAAGTAAAAAACGTACAACTAGACACTCTAATAAAAGGCTAAAATTCACAATCATACTGTCGAATAATATATAACATATTTTTAAAGGCTTCAATGCGTAAGAGATGCTTCGAGAGTAGCGCTCATTCAGTGGCGTATCTAGAGGGTGCGTAGGGGTGCATGCTCCTCCAAAAATTACTTCCCCCCCCCCAGTCGTCCCCTCAAAAATCATGGTCAAGTAGTTAAAAATCACCTAGATCACCTTATTTTTCCAACTAGCGTCCCTCAAATGTTCATCGAGCCTCCCCACCTCACTTCACCTTCAGCCCCCCCCACCCCATCAGCACCCCCATTCAAGACTTGTAGATACGCCATTGCGCTCATTAGTTATTGGATTTATCATGATGGAGGTACTAAATGGAGTGATGTACCCAGTGTTTTATTTTATTGAAATATAACAATACATTGTACAATGTTATACTTTAATTAGTAAGTCGCCCGGAATCGATTGGATAGTGTAGTGTCCCGACGACCTGAGACGAATATCAAAAATGCACGGGGCCAATAAGATGCTATTTTTCGTAGAATTTTTCAGTCATCATTATAAACTTTAAAGCTGAATTTTTTTTTTTTTGGTGTTTCATTTTTTGTAATAAAAATGTTTCTGCACAACACCAGGTTGAACCAAATTATTGAAAATTAGACAGAACATAGTTCGTCATCAGTTAGCAGACCCATAACATGTTTATAGCCCTACGACATTAAGTGGAGGTTTTCCAGGTTTTACTAAAAGAGATGAAATTTGCGGTGGCGGGTTTCCCACACAAACTGTGGGGCCTATATTTAATGAAGCGTAACATAGAACTAAAAGGAATCTGTCTGACCAAGAACATATATGAACAAAAATTAACCATCTTTGGGATTCAGTGGCGGATTGAAGGGGGCCCAGCAGGCTCTCCCCTCCTATTTTTTTGTTTAATTATTTTTTTAAATGGAGAAAAAGAAATTTATATTGAGAGTGCCATTTCCGACCATCTAGTGGTGCCATAATCATAATTTCTCTCCAACCATGGTGGGGCTGAGGTGGTGGGGGCGGGGGGACCCTCTATCTGTGAAAGTTCCTACCTGGGCCCCCTCTATTTCTAATTCCTGGATCCACCATAGCGGATTTGATTGTGAGCTAGTACTATTTCGATTTGTCGTCAGATACGTTAAATAGTTTTGTTTTTTTAAAGTTTTCAATCGGTATTTACGTTTGAAATCTATAAAATCCACTGTGGTTTAGAAGCGGTTTAATGGCATGTGCCGTGTGCGAATGGTCAGTTGCGCCGGTGGTTGAGTTCAACAATTGTAGTCTGACAGCCAGCAACAGAACTATATACTCAAAGGTAATCTGCTTGACAGATGACGAACAAACTATTTTTGAAGGAGTTGTTACTATTAATGAATGTGATGAAGCAATGGAAGAGATGAAACTTAATAAATGGCCTGGGTGTGATGGTTTTACGGAGTATTACCAATTCTTTTGGAAAGAAAGTAGGCAGGTCTTTGTGATGCATTATTGATTATTATCAAATGAATGAAATGAGTTACACACAGAAGTGTGATGTGATATGTTTATTATCCAAAAAAGGAGACAAACAAATGTTGGAAAACTGGCGTCCGATCACATTATTAAACACAGATTTACAAAATTTTAACTCACACTCTGTGTTCGAGACTCCATAAAAATTTCATAATGATCAAAAAGGGTACATAAAAGGTCGTTTTTCGGGGAAAATGTTCTGTTTATTATGATAGTCTTTACTATACACCAGAAAAAGAAATCGAAGGTGCTATTCTGTCACTGGATTTGGATTTTTTTTTTTTTTTTTTTTTTTTTTTTTTTTTTTTTTTCTAAGGTTTTTTTTTTTGCAAAAGCCTTTGACTCTGTGGGCAGAGAGTTTATGTTCAGTGACTTAAAGAAGATTAATTTTGGAGAAATTTAATACCGGTACCGACATATTACTTTTATATTATTAATAGATAGATATCCGAAAGCTTTGAAATGAATTGTGGGATAAGACAAGGCTGCCCTTTGTCTGCTTTTCTTTTTATTTTAGTAGTTGAAATTATGGCCTGTAATATAATGGAAGATTTGTAGTATAAAGGAATAACATTGCCGTGACGTGTCACTTGGTACAAATATAGAAAAGGCTCGCATAGCACAACTTGCATACGATACCGTACAGTTCTGAGAAAAGGGTCTCTACATTGTTGACAATTTTGGTAAAGTTTCGGGCATGAGGCTAAATAAGGTAAAACAAATGCAAAGTGGATTTGAAAATGGAAAAAGGAATCGACAAATCACGAGGTTTAAATTGGACCAAAGAGCCTATCAAAATATTAGGTATATATGTCGGTTATGATGACACAGAGTGTGAAGAACTAATTGTGTCGACAAACGAGTTAGCTTATAAAGACTGCCCAACTCCTGGAAAGGCAGAAATCGTACGTTTTATTTTGGAAAGGTTACCATTTTAAAGAGTTTAGCATTTTTGAAACTAACTTATAATGCTTCTATAATCGATGTACCTTACCTAGAGATGTTATTAAGTTAGCGTATGATATTCTTTGGAACGGTAAAAAAGAAACCAAAACGAAAAACGTTGATTGATAAAACTATGAATATGCCAGAATTTTTGTCTCAAGTTGAAGCACTAAAAATTGTATGAGTAAGAAAAATACTGTCTAGAAAGCATGAAAGGTGGAAAGTACTGCCTTTATATTATAATATAAGCAAATTAGGTAATGAAGAAGTAAACTTCAACATGTCAATTATGATCTTGAGAAATATAAAAATTTCTCGTAGGATACCGTAATTTTATTTTAACGTCATTAGGTATTGTACAGAACTGAATGCATGTACTAGCTTTACAGTGGATAATTACAGAGAAATCCTTTAACAAATCTATGAGAAAACAAAACATTTCTTACAATAACAAATCACTATGGTTCAGGACAGACGTGTATATATATATATATATATATATATGTATGTATATATATGTATATATATGTATATATATACATATATATATACATACA